AATTCCGGAAAATGATATTCACGATTCTCTCAAAGTAAATTCGGTTTTTATCGGAGGAAACTTGGCAACTTCTGAAGGCTCATATGGCGTTCCTCCTCAGCCCGGCAGAATGTCGGACCATTTCCCCTTCATTTCTAATTACTCCGAACCGCAATACACGAAGTTTGTTTTCAACATCTACGTGGCACATGCGCGAGCCGGTACCTTGAGCAAAGCTCACGCAGGGACGCGCGTCTCTAATACACACGTGTTTGCACAAACGCGATGCGCATGCGCGCAAGTGCTTAACAAACGTCCGATGCTCATTGTGCAATCCCTATCGTAAAAATTATGTCTCGGACGCCGCGCATAGATAGTCTGTTGCCATGCTGCATCCAGTAGTGACTTAATAATCAACTTTATTTTCTTTAAATGTTCGTCATATTTTTCGAGTTATAATTGGACCACATTTTGCAATTTGGAACTATAAATTCTAGCCCGGTTTAAAAACAACGTATGTGCCATTAGTTTCCCTTTGCCTATAAGTGTTTTTCCAGAAGAGCCAGAATCTATAGTTCCAAATTGCAAAATGCAGTCCAATTGGACTACATTTTGCAATTTGGAACTATTAATTCTAGCCCGGTTTAAAAGCAACGTATGTGCCATTAGGTTCCCTACGCACGTAAATGTTTTTCCAGAGGAGCCAGAATTTATAGTTCCAAATCGCAAAATGCAGTCCAATTCATGTATACAGAAAATTGCAGTGTATTTGCGATCCATACATGCTGCATAAATTCGGCAGAAATTAATTAATTCTGCAGAATTTATGCAGCATGTATGGATCTACATTGCAATTTTCTGTATGCATGAATTGGACTTGCAAGTTGAGTTGGCTCCTGAAACATCCTTAAGTTTGCACCCCGGTTCTTGCCAAAAAAGTGATTGAAATGCTCGGTCACGCCGATTGCGAAGCCTAGCCCTCGTTACGGTGTTATGAGATCGAACTTCATCTCGCTTTCTGCACGGAGTGGCTCTTACACATTTTTCTCAGCGTTTTGCATGAAATTCTCTCCACTCACGAACGTTAATTGAATCTTTAACCCGTTCCAGTGGCGTGGCGTGCTGTGCGATGTATCTCTCGATCTGTCATTTAAACCTATGAAAAAGGATCGATTAACAGGGTGTTCGCAACGAACACCTTAATAATCGATATTTCATCATAGCTTCAATAGGAAAATATCGAAAATCGATCGTCACGCCTCGCGACTGACCCGTTCGAGTCGCAGCCTTCACGATGAGCCTCGTACTTCGTGCTTAAGCGTTTTTGTCCCGATCGGCGATGTTCGTGCGGCCACCGGCGTTCCATCGCGTTATAAGAAGAGTCGCTCCAAGGCCGGATTCCTACCTGCCCTCGCTCATTCTACGATTAAAATTTAAAATCACGTAACTAATTATCAGTCTGTCGCAAGCCGCGACCAGGTCCGCGCGTTTATTGGCTCCCGACGACACCTTGAGAGGCTCGCTACGATGACTCAAAATTCATGCAAGGATTCGAATCGAACATGAATGCGCTTGATCCTCTCGTGATGCACTGGAACGGTGCGTGGTTGGGATGCTCAATTTGATGCACCGAAGTTGATAGGTAACTTAGCCGAGGAAGGCTCAAGGTCCACTGGAAAAAAACACATCGGATCTAGAGACCAGACTTTTGAAATCATTGACAAGAAAAAGGACTCTTGATTCAATCAGATTTAAGCTTAAATCAAGAGGAAATCTGCTCAAATTAAGAGGCTTCGTTCTTGATCCAAGCAAAAATCCGAATGAATCAAGAGTATTTTTTCTTGTCGATATTTTTAAGAGTCTTGACTCTAGATCCAATGTGTTTTTTTTCCCAGTGAAATTCCTTCTTCAGTAAGGCCCCATGCGGTTTACTTGGTGATTAAGGGATGTTTAAAGGATCACTGGAAAAAAATGGCTTTGATCTAGAGTCCAGACCCTTATAAACATTGACAAGAAAAATACTCTTTGATTCAATTGAACTTTTTGCTTGAATCAAAAGGAAATCCGCCTAAATCAAGAGACTCGGCTCTTCGATTCAAGGACAAATCTGATTGAATCAAGAGTATTTTTTCTTGTCAATGTTTTTAAGAGTCTGGACTCTAGATCCAAGCGACTTCATTTTCCAGTGAAGTTTTTGATACAACTCCACGAAAAGGATAGAATGATCCAGGGCTAAACGGCCAAATTGCAGGAGCGTGTTCTATGGGTCAAAATAAGACTTTTTTGTCGTAAATTGAGATTTCGATTTTTAGATCATTTATGAATTCGGGGCATAAAGGTACAGGGGAGTACACATTTTCATGAGTTTTGGTTCACAACCGTTGCCAAAATTCAGGTAAAATGATTGACCATCCGAAATTTTGGGGGGCCGTAGCTCCGACTGAGGGTACTTTTCGAAAAAACTTTATATAACAAAAAAGTCTTATTTTGACCCATATAACACGCTCCTGCAGTCTGGCCGCTTTAACCATGGACCATCCTGTATATTAATTTGGGGTGTGAGTCCTTTCAATAATTTGTACAGCTACAAAAAAAAAAAAAAAAAAAAAAAAAAAAAAAAAAAANAAAAAAAAAAAAAAAAAAAAAAAAAAAAAAAAAAAAAAAAAAAAAAAACTGCAAAATACAAAAGAAAGTATTATGCGAAGTAAGCGAATTTCGAGGAGAGTCCGTATCCACTCGGAAGTTTGTTGAATTGTAGAGTCCTTTTCCCCTTTTGCATTTTTACTTTTTGTTATGGCAGTTCATTGCAGGCCTTTGCATGGACCTGTTCCCAAAAAAATATGAAGTTTCCGAAACGGAATCGTTGCCAACAATCGTATGACATCCAAAGGTAGAGGGTGACCGGTCGTGTCAACGTATCAACTGGGAGATACTAGATGACATTGCACTTTTTGTTATCATTGAATCTTGCGAGAATACTGTGGAACTTTCGCTTTCAAATCATCCTTGATGGTAATAAACCGTGAGTTTGCAGGTAATAACAGCGGTTGATTTGAAATCATAGGTTGGCTGTTCTCTCGGTTCACACGCTGATCAGGGGAGGCATCGGTGCACTGTTGAGTGGTGCCCTGAATTTTGCGCGTATCCCGCAATTTTGTGCAATCGATGAGGATTGGGGCTCGGTAATCGTTAGGTTCGTTTGAACTTTGCATATGAATTCGGTGCGAGATTGGATCGTAAAACCTCAAACATACTAAATTACGACTGTTGAGGAACGACCGATGACTTTCACTTTCAGCTCCTATATATTCAGCGTTCGAACTAACAGTAAGCATTACCCGCCAGTGAAAGGATGTCTAGAGGGGGTTTTACATGAAATGAGGGACTGTCAAATAAATACCCCCGGGGATTTGGGAGGATCGCTTTCCTGTGAGTTTCCCCCGAATCATTAAGGTCCCAGAAACGAACATATTTTCCCCCGTGGCTATCATAGCCAACTGTACTGGAGAAGCAGGGAGTTATCACGTTATGAAATGGTTTACTTCTCTACGTTGTGTTAAAGTCTCCAAGCTCGCCAACGATTTCCGTGATTTTTTATTCAAAAATTATCTTTATTTATGTATCCATTGTTATGGTTAGGCGTTGCAGAGTGTTAGAGAGCGCTGTGCAAGCGGCTCTTAGGTATTTTTACTTTATCTGTATTGTGACTCTCCTGTGTTTTGTGTGCGCAATAAGAGCACCTTCATGGACGGAATATATGGTCACTGAAAGGTCCACCTCTGAAAACGTCTGCTATTGCAAGGTTGGCAACAGGTGGAGCAAGTGATGAGCGTGAAAGGTTTGCAATAACCCCAATTCATCCGCTTCCACCAGAAAAAAAACTCCGGCAGTGGAAGCCGTACTTTGGGACTATATAGATATACCGTCCGTTCCGGGCTTAGAAGCCAAAAGTTCCGGGCGTAGCACTCGGAGCAGTCAAGCTACGGCTCCAGCACCCAGAAGTTTCGGCCTCTGAGCCCGGAAAGGACGTTACGTCCATATAGCTCGTAACTTTTTTCAGTGTACTTCCACCAGAGACAAGAGACCCTCCACTAGTATCTTAACCATGGTTGAACCTTTTTCTTTCGGGACTTCAGCATTCTACTGTTGATTTACCTACATGGTTGGCAGTTTCTTTTCGCAAACAAGCCGAAAATGGCCGAAGTTTGGGAAACTTGTTTGACTCAAGACGTCACCCGATGCTCATCATTCACCATGTAGGGAGGTCAACAGCCAAAATTAGGGTGCTGTCTGTTGCTCCCTTATAATTGTCCATAAGGAATTGTTGAATCCCCGAAAGTAAAAGCATCCGCACCTGTCGCCAAGAGGTCAGTGGAGAGTCTCCTAACTCAAAAAAAGGTATGACTCTGAGACCCATAAAAAATGGCTCGGAGATCCATAATTTCCAACCAAAGTGACTTACCGTCTACAGTATGGCTTTCTGAGCCATACTTTATTGGTCATGAACCTACACTGGTAAAAAAAACCTCTTGGTTCAAGAGTGCAGTTTCTTGTCGCCGGATTTAAGAGTTTGGACTCTTGTTTCAATGCAAAATCCGCTTGAATCAATGCAAAATTCGCTTGAAACAAGAGTTCAAGACTCTTAAATCCAGCGACAAGAAACTGCACTCTTAAGTCAATGCGCCGCGGCATTGGTCCAAGAGGTTTTTTTACCAGTGTAAAATATTTGAAAACTGCAAAGAAAAATTGCATGAATGTCGTCAAAAATACATGTTTTATCAAGGAAAATTTGACAACTCCCGAATGTTCATACGGCGTTCTTCCTCAGCACGACAGTATATAGTTCATAACTTTTTTTCTGTGTACTTCCACCAATGGTCGCCGCCTTGTTTGTGATTCTAAAGGTCTCCGCGAGACTCTTCATAAAGGTTCTTAGTGTTTTATGCGTGATATGTTTGTATTTGTATAATTGCCGTGTTTTGAGTTTGCGCTAATTTGATGTTTGTTTGTTTGGTTTGCAGGCCGCGGCGACGGAGCGGTAGCAGCATCGTGGTAGTGGACACGGAGCCGGTGAAGTTGCCGGTGCTCCCGGTGGACGATGGCGTGGACGGCGTCGGGGTCGGAGTCGGCGACGCCTTCGACGACGCCAACATGATGATGGTCATGTCCTCCCTCGACCCCGGACCCCATCGCGAGATGGCGGTCGACGTTCCCGACAGCTTCATCGCCCGCAGCAAGACCCCGCCCCGCTACCCCCCGCCCAGGATCCACAACAGGGTCCAGGTCAGTACCACACACCTAACATCATCAACTTCGACAAATGGTTTGATGAAAGTAACACTACGGGCCGATTATTGATTTTGATAGACGAAGCTATAGACAAAGAATACAAAAGGAATACGGAGGGATCCTATTGGTATAGAAGAGGGTGGTTGCAACTAACGGCAACCCATGAGAGACACTATAGTTAGTCCATCATTTCCTCCCTTAGTCTGCACGGAGAGAAAAACCTAGTGCGTGGGACCCGAAGTTTAGGTCATATGGATCTCTGAAGTTTTCGGACTGATCATCTGAACTTTTCAGGTCTAGCTGTCGAGGTTCGGATCACACATTTGAAACTACAGTTCTTACATCTGAAGTACTTCAGATGTGAGAACCCAAGTTTTTCGGATGTGAGAACCGAAGTTGATTGGATGTGAAAACCGAAGTACTTCTGATGTAAGAACTGAAGTTTCAGATGTGATGTGTGATACAAACCTCAGTAGCCGGACCTAAAGTGTTCAAATGCTCAATCCGAAAACTTCAGAGATCCATATGACCTAAAATTCGGGTCCCACGTACGAGGTTTTTTTCTCTGTGTAAAGGAACTACCCTATTAAACCAATAGGATTGCTCCATACCACCTACGTCTTCTTTGTCTATAGCTTTGTCTATCAATTTCAATAATCAGCCCGCTGTCCGTGTCCGGGCTCTACTACAGGCATTAGGCAAAGTCTGAACTAGAGGGAATCTTCACATGTTTTCTCCTCAAATTACCTGGAAAACAGTTTGCTTAAATTCACGCAAAAGTGGATCTTGTATGTACTGCGGGTGTCCTGAAAATATTCCTTAAACGAAGCTGGGGGGATTTTCGAGTCATGCAGCATTTCAGAATTACTCTGGGCTATTAAAATTATATGTATTAAACTTTACTTCACATATATATACTCAGAATTGTTCATGTTACTTGAGTATTTTCCAGGGTGGCTAGCGACCAGGAAAATCGGGAATGAAGCAGGGAATGCAACTTGATCGAGAAAAATCAGTGAGAAGCTAGGAAACGTTAACAGCCGGGAAATTTGTTTTGGAGCCGAGTTCAACTTAAAAATCCGGTCAGCGACGGGCCAACCCGGTGTCGCTCTCAAGCGGTGTTTCCGAAGACCATAAGTCGTAAAAAACGCAATAGTGTATTTCCTTCGGAAAATACACTAAAAGTCAGGGAATGATAAAATGAAATTTTGCTAGCCACTCTGAATTTTCTCATTTTTTAGGACTATAAGAGACAATACACTGAGGGAGCAGAAAATATCAAAGCTTTGTATCCAAATAATGAAATCATCGCGTTACAAAACAGGCTCATTGATGGAATGATTCATGAAAAATTTCCTCCCAATCAGCATGTCAGACACATTTCTTGTTAGGGAAATTTCGCGGCTCTTTCAAGTCAGTTCGCACGTGGACTATAACTAGATCATCATTCGAAAGTGCACTCGAGTTGATGGAAGTTTGATAAAGTATGAAGATAGAGTGAGGGATTTTTCCGCCCCTTCAATAGTTTCTCAATATATCCTAGCTGTCAGATTATTATCGATAGCGACCGGACACATATTTTTTTCAGTATACAAGAGATAAGGCCGGAAAGCCAGATTTATAGTTGAGTGAAACGCTAGAAAAAAACACGCAAGGAAAGCACCGTGACCTCCGCCCATCGACTTTGGTTCGTCCCTTGCAATTGCATTTTTCAGTCTCGTTTAACGAAGATACTGACAGTTCAAACACGAGAATGAACCACTATCCATCGGCACACTTCCTTCAACGAATCAACGCAGGGAATGTTGCTTCTTTGCACTAAAAAAAGGGGAAAATGCTTGATTCCCGGATTGCCAGCGATCTGGAAAATCGGAAAAATCAGGGATTTGTGGGTAATTTGCGACGACAAGGAAAAGTCAGGGAGTTTCTACCAATCACTAAAACATATTACTGATCTTTCAACTGTCCACCCGCTCTGTTCATTTTAAGGCTTGTCATCTTTTAACCTTCTACTGAATGTCCTTTTTCATAATTTGATCTCTGAACGAGAAAATTGTATCCAACGTCTAGCGAGAGATAGCATAAGTATTTTCAATGAAAAGAGTGAAACTTTTGTTTGAAGGTCAGTAAAAATCAGAGAATTAGAAAATTTTTGAGTCGGGGGAAAAGCAAAAATAGTCAGGGAAAATTCAGGAAATTTGAAGATTATCTTACGTAATGTAGTTCGGTCAGTATCGGACCTATTGCAGTGTTTTGTACGGTACAACAAATTGTAAGCTACAACAAATCGTTAGAAGAATCCCATTTTGAGGAGATTCTGGGTGTTCGGGTTAAAAAAACTGTAATTTTGTGAATGACCAATCAGGCCATGCCCAGACCACTCTCGTGAACTTGGGGAGTCCTGTCCAAGTCGTTTTTTTTTTTTCTGGAAGAATGACCCACTTGACCTCATACCTCACACACTATTGATCTGAAGTTAGAATAATGAGACGGAAAGTCCCCGGAGGCAAATGAAGAGCTAAGTGTTAGAAATGAGACAAGTAGCGCTAATTAGTATGTGACTTGCGAGGAGGTAACGAAATACGGACGATTTTTCGTTCACGTCAACGTCGGGTGTTCAAAAAGTCGCCCAGGGGCTCGTCCATTCTCGCATGCCGGGGCTTCGGAGAAAGTATGGGCTGTAATTTAACATTACGTCAGTTCACTCCTCATTTACTTACGTGCTCATTATACCATCCGCATTTTCATAGAATTAAATGAGGGTTATGAATATTTGACCGAGATGTCCTTTTAATAATAGTTCCCCGTTCGCTCTACTCTTATTTTCCTCTTGTAATTTCTCTCCATCTCGTCATCCATTTTTATTTTATAACTCACGTCTGTCCATTTAACAATTTCATCACTCAAATTCTATCTCCCGTATGCGTTTTATTTGAAAAATTCCTCGAAGAGGGTCGCCTAAAGCATACATTTTAACAGCTTTTTCAAGCGTTGCCCTAAATTTCACGAATTTTTTCCAAAGGTTTTTTTAAAGATTCGTCGCTACTGTGAATGAGTTTCATGAGTAATACAATACGATGAATACCATAATGAGTTTCATGCTCTACATATGTTTATTATTGTTTGGTATCCTATTTTTAATTTTATTTTTAATTATTTAATTTTCTCCTTCCATTTTATTATTTATGTTATCTTGTTCTGACATTGATCTTCTGAGTATTTTTTTACCTTCCATTTTGTTTATCTGAGTTTGATTTTAAGTTTGATGATTATTTTTTCTGAGTTTGATGATTATTTTTTCTGAGTTTGATGATTATTTTTTTCAGAGTTTGATGATAATTTTTTCAGAGTTTGATGATTATTTTTTCAAAGTTTGATGATTATATTTTCAGAGTTTGATGATTATTTTTTCAGAGTTTGATAATTGTTTTTTCAGAGTTTGATTTTAAGTTTGACGATTATTTTTTCTGTTATCTTATTTTGAGTTTGATTTTGTTTTGTTTGAAGAATGGATCAGCGAAACCAGTTCCACCTCCCCGCGACCACCTGAAATTGGAGGATGGGCGGCTCATCACCCGAGCCCCGGCGCCCACCCCCGCCCCCCAAATCCCGGCCAGGGCCCCACCAC